AAGCTGTTTGACTCGTTTTCGAAGCTTCGCAACACCAACGTGGATGCAGCTTGGTATCGGTGACTCTCTCATTGGCAGAAGCAAACTGCGGCTAAGATTCTTGTCGTAGATGCCAGTCAGATACTTGCAGAACTGCAGGAGCAGTAACCTGCCTCAGGATTGGATTTTTCCTTTATAGTTTGTCTCGCGGCGTGCGCCAGCGCATGCATCATATTGTCTGAGTCTCTTTGCTACATTTCATGCCCAAGCAGAATAGCGGTGCAGGAAGGGCTTGATAAACCGCACCTTGCAAAGAAGAGCTTGCCGGAAGAAAGCGGGCTGTCAGGCCTCAATAGAACAGGCCCGACATGCACCGTATTTCTCGGCTCTGGAATGCCGCCCGGCCTGTCCTCTAAGCTTGCCTCACAGTCAGGGCCCGAGACACCTGCAGCGCGGCGCAACCGCCTATCGATTTTCAGCGCACTCGCCAAAGGGCCAAAATCACCGGCCCGGCCCCGCCAACTGAGAGCTCTACATCTGGCAAAGAGCGAGGGGTGTCTTTGGTATTGAACCTTCTCTGCCTGAGCAGAAACAGCAAGCTGTGCAATCCGCGCGCTTGACATCGCGCCTCTGAGGTGCTAAGATTCTCCTGGCCAAGGATGGTCGATGGTCAATTGCATTCAGGCATTTATTACCTACAACAGCGCAACATGTTCCACGCGTGAAACACTGACACAGTCATATGATTCATATGCAGCAAAATTGGAGTCGTGATCAAAGTATGGTATGCGTGGAGTCTTCCCAATATGGCGGCGATTGTCAGGGATCTGCGAATTTTGATTGTGGCTCATTGACGCTGCCCCTCCTGATCGGCCTTGTCCATCTCGGAAGATAACGGCCTTCAGCGGAGTGCTGAGGTTTGAGTTGTCCCGGATTGGGGTTCAACATTGTGAGTTGTCAAAACAGGGGTCATACTGGCTTAGCAGGTTGACATGTTGGCATGCTCGGGAAATCTCCGAATTTACGCTAGCTGCCATCATGCTCAACACCAAACAAGCAAAGTGCCATTTTGACACCACGCATTCTCTCTGAATTCACCAGCAGTGCAACTTCATTGCACCGCCCCCTGGGCGCCGGCTTCAACATAATCTCTGGCGCCATATCAGCCACCAGACTTGGTACAATTAGGTGGACTGGACGCAGAGAGTCGAAAGCGCGAAGTCGGAGACAAACATTGGCGTGAATTATTGACCAGCCGCGGCTCACAAACCCTTCTTCAGGGTGGATGTATTCGCAGACAAGATGGCGCCACGGTCCATGAGCACCTTCATGACCTCCACAATTTGCAGCACAAGCCAAGAGGATCTCTCATGACTTCTATCTCACGTGGCCTTGAAGGCCGCTTCTTGCATGTGCTCAAACTGTAGGGTGACTTCAGTTGGAGTACCTCGCGCGCCAACTTCAAGCATGCCGGCACCCCTTTACAAAGCTTCTTTACCTGCAAAACATGTTGCTCAACATTATCAAGCTGACGTGCCTCTGGTCGCCAGGATGCGGTCAATAATAGCTGCATGCTCTATGACCTTGGCACCAGCTGCAAAACAATGAGTGCTTGAGACAAAATCCACTTTCTACCTCTGGACAACCTGAACATACGCAATGGACAGTGAGAGCAAACTTATTTTGCAGATCCATCCTCCCGCCTCCAGCCCGATATTCTGTCTCAATGCTGGATCTTTCAACCCTCGATTCACAATTTCAGCCACAAACTCCACTTTCTATCAATCACACAACAAAACTCACCACCCCAAAAACACGTCTTTTGCCATGTTTGCAACTCACCGGGGACACCCCTGGGGTCCGCCCCCACTGCTCCCCAGTCCTGCGCTTAGGAACCGGGCGTAGACGTCCAGGATGGTCTCTCCCTTACTGCTCATCGGGTCGTTCACCCTGACGCCCGCGTCCAGGCACTGCTCCACCGCGCTGGCCTCAGGATCAAGAGGAGCACCCGGCGGCGTTTTTCATGTTTTTGCCATTTTCGGGGGTGGGGGGGTGAGGGTGGGTGGGTGGGTTGGATCTTTGGAGCAATCGTGGCTTTGGGGAGTCCCACCAAAATGCGATCTCAGATTCTGGGGAACAGTTGGACATGAGTGAGTCCCTGCTCAATGTGACAGGCTTTTCGATGAGTCCATCCATGTGTGCGGCTGTCTAAACTCCTTGTATCCCGCAGTGGACACCGCCAATTTGGGACGCCCCCATCGCTTCCCGCATATTTTTGCGTTCTTGTTATTCAGGGCTCCGCTCTTACATATTTTACGTATGTTCAAGTACGGGCATGTCTAGAGTTGCAATGGACCCATTGCCCAAATTACCCAAATCAAACAACTTCCAAACATAATAATATGCTTCTTGAAGTCCAAGATATTCCAAGCCAACCTGCGCTATTGAACTTAATTGGTCCCCCCTGGATGATGTCTGCTTCATACACGACCAACTTGCGCATCAATGCTGGGCGCTGCTGCAGGGTGCTGTTGCAGAGTGCTACTGCAGGGTGTTGTTGTGCTGCTGAAGGGCGCTGTTGCACGGAGCTGCAGGCCGAGACTCAGAGTTGCGCAGGTTCTGCAGGATGGTAAGCCAAAACCAAGGGCTTTCCAACAAAGGCAAGTGTTGTTCAGGACCCAAATGGGCAACTGGGCAACTTGAAGACCTTTGAGCATCGCTTCGGGCATCGTTTGGGCATCGCTTCGGCGCGCCTTCTTTTTAAATGTTATCATGGTGGTTTGGCTTTAAGCACAGCCATGCGCCACCTGGCACATCTAATCTAGCAGCCAACAGCTGTCAAGTGTTGATATGGGTTTGTCGTTTTGCGAGGGACTTGGGAATATAGATGGCTTCTGCTTGGTTTTCCTCTGAACCTCCGCGCTCAAGTAGCGCAAGCAATATCCCCTCTGTGAAAGTTGATACATACAAGAGCAGGGCATCGCTTTTGGGACGCCCCCATCGCTTCCCCCAGCTTTCTGCACTTTTGGAAAGCGGATGTCCGCCGAATACATATTCTAGATAGCACGAGTGTTGACGGTTGCTCATGTGAGCCAAGGCGCGTCCATTGCTCGCACTGCCTGCCAAAGGCGCCAAGGAATTCATTGCTTTCAGCTCGCATGGCGTCTGGCTGATTCTCATGCTTTGTAGTTGCAAAGGGCAAGGGGGCTTGACCCTCTACTTGCCTCAAAATCATGGAAGGGATGTTCTTAAATTGTTTAAAACCCGAGCCTCAAATCTCAAACCACCTATTGGGGATGCCCTGGAGTTGCCTGGCTCGCTCATTTTTCTGGCACCAGCCTCGACCAAGCGCTCCTGGCTAGCGATCGGATGTTGGCCGAACCAGGACATCGCAGGCCTGCAAGAGCGGCAAGCAAGATGGATTGGTGTCATCTGGTCTCCTGCATTGTGTCCGACCTTGGGCCCCTGGACCCCTTCATGGCTTTCAACGCAAGAGCTGAATCTGCCAAGGCCACATTGCTGGAAGTACCAGTTTAGCAGTCGCACCGATTTTGAAAAGACCAAGCTCTCATTGCTCGCACAAAACAGCCGGCCTTGCCGTGATTCACGACTCCACGAAGCAGGGCTGAAAGCAAATCGGATCAACGTGTGCTTCTTGCCGTGCTTCTGCTGGCTCTTGGTTGTCCTGCCTCTTCACATCAAATTGCTTCTGGCTTCAAAGCTGCAGGGATATCAGCTATTCAATGCACGTGACAACCGCCGACAAACAAGCAAGCACTACCAATGCGCCGCAAAACGGGATTGCTGGCATGCGTGTGCCGATGGTGTTGGCTGCAACCATTCCTCTAGACGGAATTGAAGGGGCGGTGCCTTCTCATACTCATGCACGCTACCATCCTTTCACAAATCTCGATGCTTGACCAAATAACTCTCTTACTGGCTGACAGGTTCATGTTATTACCATGTTATTGCTTGGTGGAACTTTCCATGCTGGACACGCGAATGCACGCTTGGAGTTGCGGAACACGTGGCACAGCCACCGCGTGGCTGGCAACTGCCGGGATGGGAGGCCCAGTTCGGCTTTTCGCATGGGTTGCGTGACTTGCGTGACTTGCATGCGGGGCTTCTGCAACTTCACATGCCAAATGTGGGATTCAACCAGCCTTCGATGGCAACACCTACGGCACCGGGCTCACACTTTCTCAGAAGTGACACAGAAACTAAATGGCTGGTTGAACAAAAAGTTGCGTGGGCAACAACTCACCTCTCGCAAACCACTTTTCTGGCAGCAAACAACAAGCTTGCAAAGTTGCCGGCATATGTTTCTCTTTTGTGCATTTTTCCAGGATGCCAAGAACCAATATGGAAGGGGTCAAGGCTTGCTGATGCTGTGCAACAACTTTGCAAGGCGTCATTAGGTTTCGCTTTAGCAAACGCAGCTGCACATTTGCTCTTTCCTGGTGTAGAACTCAGTTGGACTCTATAAGCTTCAACACCTGCCTAAAACTCCTGACAGAAGCACATGGCCATGCACATACACACACACACACCTAAGGAGGAGGCAAATGCGCTTGAATTCTCACTGATCTCGACGGAGTGCTGACCTTCACGCGTTTGCTCTCTCTCTGTTTCTCTCTTCCGACGTCGAAATCGCCGAAAAGAAAGCTGGCAAAGTCTGAGCTATGCACCAGCCCCATAGCTGCTAGGCTGAAGGCTGAGTTGTGTTTCTTTTTCGGTCTCAGGAGGCTAAATAAGAAACGAATTGAGCGGCCTATGCGCGGCTGAGATTGGGGCAGAAAGAAACCAAGCTTGACACTTTTTGTCTCGTTGATACATGTTGAACATGTTGAACCAAACCTCCTGCGGCAAGCACGTGGCTTCATAAAGATACACCGTGCGGTCGAACTTCAATTTTCCGCGATGACCGTACAGCCCACCGGCTGCTTGTAAGTTTCCTCTGAACTGTCCCTTATTTTCACCGTTCTCGTTCCCCACACGAATCGTGCACATGTCCATCGGACCTCGCGTTGAGCCAGTTCCAGAGCAATTGGACCTCTCGCTGGTTTCTTCCGCGAGCAGCTTGGGCACCTTGGCACACGCATCTCGACTCTCTACACCTTTTGGTTCCTGCTGTCCGCCATGGCGATTCAACGATATCAAAAGCTCCTTGGTTTGGATGCTGAACAAAAGGCCCATCTCCTTTGGTCTTTGGAGCGATAGGGATTCTTTTGCGTTGGAAACTCCAGATCGCAACTGGATCTTGGCCATGTGCAGTGGCCATGGCGACAACTCCAGGAGCGGACCCACCTGTGGGATTGGGGAAGCAGAAAACCCCCTTTCGGATTTTCAAGGAGCTGGCCTGTATCAATGCCACCAAGAGGGCAGGACACCCTGATCGACCTGTGCCGCAACTGGTCGGCATGGTGAATCTGCCGCTGCCAAGCTCGCTTTGAGAGGCTGACGTGTCTTCTCCGTGCGCAAGAACAGGTAACTCGGCACGAGGCGCGGTCAACGGAAATTCGTTTCCTCACCAAGGCTCTGGCCAGAGACCGATCGAGGTGAAGATAGAGGCGACGGGCAGCCAAATAATGTGAAACTCCCCTCAGAGGAATTTGGCCATGGGTCAAATCCAAATCGTACCCGCAGTGAACATCCCAATCCCAGATAGGTTCTAAAATGGGTGGTGCACCTCCAAAATGGTACCAAAACGGTTTTGACCCACGGCCATTTGCGACCGCAAAACGCTGTCGCAACAAATCTGCACTGAGCCAACTGACCAGCAAAACGAGCATCTTCATTGAGCCCAGGACCATAGTAGATTTTTATGTAGTCGACGTTGGCATCCAGCAGCTGAAAGTAGACCACCAGCCTGGCAGACATGGAGCCGTGCCCTTCACGCCCTTCGCAGTGCGGGCGCGCCAATTTGCAGCTCGTGAGGCTGTGAGGAGGAGCGCCTGGCAGAGCCGAAGCTGCGCTGCAAATGTGCAAGAAGGTCAATGTACATCTGCCCGTGGCCCAATTCGGGGAAACAAAACCAAAGAAACCTAAACAAAAAAAACAACAGAAACAAACAAACGAAGGAACAAACGAACAAACAAACAAACAAACAAACAAACAAACAAACAAACAAACAAACAGCAACAAAAAAGAAAAGCACGCAAACAAAACACAACAGCAAACAAACACAACATCACGCACACCCGCAAGCACACAAACACACAACCGCACAAACGCAAACCCGGGACCCATTCACACTCCCACACCTCCACGCATACACTTACGGACCCAGCCTTGACACCAAGGCTGGCCCGGATCCCCATTACCAAGTCATTCCAACTTCGTATGCTTGGCTTGTACTGCTGCTTTAGCACGGCTCATGACCGAAAGCCACATCATGAGGCGGTTGAGCTTCTCTGAGACAAGTGACACATAGCGTGGCAGCGATATACTTGTCTGGACTTTGCTGCCTCTCCAAAGAGGACACCTAGAGCCAAAAACCGCGCGTGACAGCTCTGGCCAAACGGGTGCCAAGCAGGCTACGTCGCAGCGCTCTGCCGAAATAGCTGAAGGGCCTCTCTTGTACTGGTAAAGGACATCGGTCCTTTGGTACCGGTTCTCAGTGTTTCGCGCCGCGCGTGATCCGCAAGCTGGCGATGCGTTGAAAGACGCAAGCAGAATAAGGAGCAAAAGGCGTGTGCAAAGTACAGTTTGGCAGCTCCGTCTCAAAAGCCGCAGCTTCAAATTGTAGTAGGCAGCTCCGGCAGAATAAGTTGCAACCTTTCCGCACAAGTGTAGTGTGCGAAGTACACTCCGGCAGCGCCGGCCACAAAGCTGCAACTTTCAATGCTTAGTATACAAAGTACACCTTGGCAGCTTCTGTTTCCGGAAGGCGGCGTCATCGTTTTTGGCGTTTCGTTTTACCGTGTCTCGTGCTTTCGCGCAAACGCAATACGACGAGATCACTCGAAGACGTGTCTCTCATACGGAGCCTACCGCTCAAGCTGTCACATGAGACAAGCCAGGGTGACTGCTCGGGTATTGGTTGGATGGTGCTCTTGTTTTGGAAAAATGGACACAATATAGTTGCCCATGCCACTTCCTGTTGTTGGCTATAAACTGTCTTGGCCATGCCCTCGCTTGGGATCCATTGAACACTGATTAAAAACTCAGGTCGGTTCAGTCTTCAAGCGCTTCTCGTGCTCCAGTGGGGAAACAGCTAAGCGACCTTCTAAGCCTTCTAAGCTAGTGCTTTGCGTGGCCGGAAGACCTTCTGAAACATAGTTGCCTATAGACCACAGCACATCTCGGCCCAAATGCAAGGTATCACGCTTTATGGGTATCGGCTTTGGGGCGTCCCCTATTGGTTCTGTGCCTTTCACATGTTCTGCAAAAAGCGAAGTCCAGTCTTTCATCAATAGTTTTGTCGGGCACGCAGCTGTCCCTCACTGCACTTGGGACTCAACATGAGACATGACTCCATCACATCGCCCACCAGCGATTTTCAACATTGCGCTTCTGTTGGGCGATCTTGTGCCTGAGGTTCCGCCTGTACATCTGCACGATTCCTCATACTGGACAAACGGTGCCCTTCTTGCAGAGCCTTTTTTAGCTTCTGCGTGGCTCAATCTGCGAATTAGTTGCAGCAAACCTATCTGGCCACCTTGACACTTCTCGATGTGCCTGGCGCGAAGGATTTGGCGTCGGAGCGTTGACAGGGCCCAAGTGGCCTTCCAGCCGACCCAAGAGGCGCACCAGGCCGCAGGAGACTTCCTGATGCAAGGAAACCATTGAAGTGGTCCATGGCTGTGGCTCAAAAACATGTACCAACATGGCACCTGGTAGATGGAACAAAAGGCTAAAACCTAGCCTAGCTCTGGAAATTTTGAGCCATACCCACATGACAAGGTCAACAAGCTCCGGCCTGGACGAAAATAAACAGCGGCAGCCTTTGTAGAAACTCTGGATATCTCCTGGGATAGACCGTGCACTCGGTGAGAGAAAGATTCCTCATTCTCATTCCCTAAGCTCTCTGCAGAGGTTTAGGCTGCGCTCGGGTGGCCTGGCATCTTCGAAATGGTGGCTTTCTCAACTGAAGCCTGCGTCAATCGAGCCAGCTCTTGCAGTCAGCACAAAGAGCGGGAAGAACAAGGCGAAGACACCTGTGTTGATGAAGCGCGGACCTCGGACTTTGGAATGTGGAGGTTCAAACGAGCCGCGCGGCGGCCATTTGCATGAGGAATCCCCTCAAACTATTTTTTTTCGGGTGTCGGGCTTGGCCTAGATCATAATACGGCTTCCAAATTTGGGGGGGGACAGCCTGGGTTTGTCAGTGGACCCACCAAACTCTTCGACGCCAGGAGCTGCATGCCAACGGCTTAAGTGCCGAGTGGCAAAGCACACTCACAAAGGAGACGGGGAAGCCAAAGCCAAAGAAGTACAGCCAGTGGTTCTGCCAAATCGCCATGGCCATGGGTCAAAATCCCGATCCCCGCTAAAACAGAGTAGGCTCTAAAATGGGTGGTTAATTCACCTAGCTCAAAATGGAATCCCATTGGTTTTGACCCACAGCCAAATCAGAGCTCATGGGAACATCCCAACACAAAAAGAAAATGTGTTTACTCGGTGTCCATCCGAAACAAACCATGGATGTGAACTGTTCCTTCGAGCCTCAAAGTAGTCCACGCGGGCATTGGCCGACCACTGCTGGTGAACCCAGCGATACCTCCATCAAAAATACGTAGCACTTCCGTTTCAGGCAGCAAGGCATGGCAAGCGCTATCAACCAGGCACTCAAAGCAATAGATCGAGGCCATCCAGCAAGAGTGCACAAAGTACAGCGCCGGCCCCACCACGGGGATGTAGTACAGCTGCGCGGGTGCTTCAAACACGACGTGTCGTCCCAAGCTGTCAAAACACCTGGCAACGCGGAAGAACTATAGCCATAGAGACTGCCAGGGCTCTTTCTCCGCTTCCTCTCTGCAATCGCCCACTTGAGACCTCAACCTATTGAAAATCATGCAGGCAGCTATCTGCTGGAAGCCCTTTGTAACGGACATTGTCATTGCAGCCAATCCGCCGCAAGGCTGGTCGCCTCGCGGCATCCCGTGGCAGTCAGCACATGAGCTGTAAATTAAGGATGGCGAATAATGTGACATGCTGCTCTCATCTGTCTAAGTTCCGCCACTCGACACTTAAAGACTTAGTCGCGTTGCTCTACGCCAACAGACCTCTAGAAGTGTGCTTCTGCAACATTCACAGCTCCTTTTCAGCAACAGCTCGCGGCGATCGGCAGATCTATGATACAGTGGCTGAATCCCTTGTTTCAATCAGGCAGAGCACAGGAGCACAGCGCCAGTCTGGTGTTGAGCTCCAACCTCGCATGTATACATCCGTGTTTGTTTTAGGGTACTCTTTTTGGGGTTGCTTTCAAGGCAAACCAAAAGGAAAGCCAACTTTTGGGTACCACCAATTTGTCCAGACAGGCAATTGCTGCGCTGTTTCACTGCATGCGAAGATGCTGCTATTGCGGCAGGGAGGGTGGAACTCGTCCTTAGCCTATGTCCTCGCAAGCAAAAAGAGCAGAGGCATCAGTGTCCACTCGGCCATGGGTCAAAAGCCAAATCGTACCCCCAGTGAACATCCCAATCCCCACTAAAATAGGTTCTAAAATGGGTGGTGCACCTACCCCAAAATGGTATCCCATTGGTTTCACAACCATAGCCACTTCGCTCTCTAACTGTTCGCGGATCGACGTCGAATGTGCCAATGTGGACAGCATCCTCCAACCCCTGCCGTCGGTGGCCATCTGAACCTGCACTACTCACATGTCAAGCCACGCGTTCGCGCTGCGCTTTCCCCGGAGTGTTCTGCCTGGTCCACTTCTGGAGGCGGCCTCAGGGCCCAAAAAATGGACATGATGGCACCTGACACGAAACTTCTGGCCCTCTCTTCCAAGTTCGCAGCCATGAGATCATAATCTGGATCGAATTCCGGCCTGCTCTCCGCGCAAAGCAGCCGGCGAGTTTTTTGTGGCTCTCAGCCCCGAGCCGAAGGGCCACAAATAATCGGTCAGCAGGTGGTGTCTCGCCAAGGACTTGCCAAAGCTGTGGCACCTTTCTGCATTTCGATGAATATGGGCAGGCGAAGCTGGCATGCTGAACAAGCCCACATGTCTCTCCATCAGCATGCAACATCCGTACATGCAAACATCATCAGCCTCTTCTCCCTCCTGGACAACCAGTAGACTGCACCTTGCATGCGCTTGGCTTCTACTGGCATCACTTCTGATTGAGCTGAGCAGGCAGCTGGCATCGCTCGAAGAAGTCGACTCGCCGTATGTGAGCTTGCACCGCTTCTTGAACAGCGTCTGCGTCCGGCACCTACAAGTCAGGTACAACTCCCAGAGTCTGAAACGAACGATGTGCGTATGTATGCCTATCTTTGCTACATGCACGCACGCACAAGCTCAGAGAGAGAATGCCATGACTAGCCTGCGAACCCATCCATAACGCGAACTGCTGGCCCGACTGTGCCACCCATCCTCAGTGAAATGCCCTGTGCAAGGCCCTACACAACACTGTGAGGCCAATGTGTTTTGGGGAATCTCACAGACATAAGCTCAGTGCAAATGCAAACATAACGCTTCTTGATATGCGGCACATGTTTGATGGCACTCCTCCACACTCTAAGCTCGCTTGCCAAATCTTGGATCGAATTTGGATCGGCCAGACTGGCGTTCTGCCGGGACCAAGAGCAGGAATGGCTCCTGCAAGCTGGCAACGACGGAGATCCCTCATGTGCACCTGAACCTCGTTCTGCCATTGAGGCTTGCTTTTTTGCGCCGCAAAGCAAGCCTTCTGGTGGTACGGCGCCACCCGGAATAAGGAAGCCCTATCTGACATAGGTGCCGCCTTGCAAGCAACTCACACTTAACCCAGCCGGGGGGACAGCAAGGCACAAGGCACAACGCCAGCCTGACTTGCCAACCTCTTATGAAGCTGCAGCAGTTGGCAGGTGAAGCCTGAGGCGCCGAACCAAATTGAACAGAACTCCCAAGCTTTTCTAGCCAAAGTCAATCTCCTTCCTCTTCAGATGGTGAATGTTGCCTCTTGCTCATTCTTAGAATCTTACCAACCTTCCATCCTGCCTGTGTTGGGATTGCAGATTGGTCTTTGCTGGCGAATCCGCTCATGCGCCGCTTCGAAGGACAGGCTGAACCTAAGGGCGGCCGCCGAGACGCCCGTCAGGGAAAAATGCCCATTGGCTTTGGAAGGGATACCCTTTTTGGGGACCCCACAAGGACCACCGAAATCCATTGGGATACCAAAAGCAAATTTAAAACACTTGCTTTCGAGACAAAAGGTGCCACTGGTTGGTCTTCCCCCTGATTGCCCTTTCACATGTGACAAACTGCGACAAGTAAGTGCGGTTCTTCCACATCAGGTACGCGATGACAATGGTTGCTGACCTGCTGGTGTGCCACCCATCGCTTCTCTTTGAATATCAACCAATATTCCTTGTAGTCTCAAAGTAGGTACCGGCTCTTTTTCCTTAGTGTTCCTTCAACTTTGAAGCAACAAGAAACAAGGGTACCTTCAAACAAAGAACACCTCCCATAGTACTGCCTGGGTCCTCCGTCTCCGGGTTGTTTCCAGGTTCTGAAAACTGGGAGTTTCGGGTGTTTCAACTGCATGAACCAAATAGGAGTGGCTTCCGAAAGGCAGGAGTGGAGTAAAACACGAGTGGTTCTTGGGGGAAACAATCGGACACAAATCCTGCTAGCCTTGTTTCCTTGTTTGGCCCCGCAAATATAGAAAACTTGCGACTCTGTGCACTCGAGTTGGTATTCCACTGCTTCTACCGCAAATGCACTCTCCGGAAACCTCGTCTTTTTGATTTGTGGGAGTTTGCGGGTTTTGCGGGAGTTTGCAGGGTTTTTGCAGGTGTTTTGTGATGTTTTCAGGGCGTTTTCCGACTTTGCCAATTTGTCACCCAAAGGCGCAACCTCTGAGTAATTCTGAGTTCTGGTTCCGATTCATGTGAACGATTCTGATTCTGAATATTCCTGAATTGGAGGGCTCCTTCCGCCAAGTAATTGCGATTTCTAGGGGTTTCAGGAGTGCAAACCAATTTCCAGAAGTGACAATCTGTTTTTGGTGTTCCGCCAAAAACTAGGAGTTTTAAACTCTGTGTTTTTCACTGAGACCCTTAAAAAGTGGTAGTCTCCGGATGTTAGGTTAAATGTCCATGATTTGGAAGATCCAGGTGCAAACCAGCAATTGTTGTGTTGCCAAACCCGAGCACAAACAGTCTCACCAGCGCCAAACAACAAAAATAAACTGGCAAGAGCGGCATGATTGGGGAAGAGACTTGGAACCAAGGACTAAATCCTGTGGTCCCTTGGCGGTTTAAGTTTGACCCATACCCATATTGCTGTCACGCGAACATGTTCAAAGATCATACTTGGCAGTTGCACATGAACGATGCCTTGATTTTGGGCCCAAACTGTTGACGTTCCACAGGCTGCGAAAGGAAACGCAAGCTGACTGCAGTACTTCCTGTGATGGGAACGGTCACGGCTTCCAACATCTTCCAACATATCGCTGGCACCTGGCCTGCTGACACCTTCGCGGCAGTGCACCAGGACGCGGCCACCTCTTGTAATCGCCTAGCCAGTTGCTGACATGGCAGTCTTGGCAACGTGTGCTGGGTGTTGTGGAACACTTCACCGGCATTCTTCGTGGGAAAGCTGCAGGCATCTTTACCAAAATTGCCCCAGAGGAATGCCTTGAGCAGCGCCCTGGGCTCCAGCCGTGCTCACTACCCAATGCTGTCGCCCTCTTTAAGCGCACCTCGTTTATCCACTCCAAAGTCCTGTAGAGCAGCACTGAGATGTCTTCGCTATTCACATCCTGCAGGAGCGGCGTCGAGCGGACCTTTCTGAAGCTTGGGGGCCTGTTTGAACATTCTGAATCCCTTCCAGTCGCTCTTTCTGTCCTATTCCCGTTATGTTTTACCAGAAGGAAGGGAGCCTTTTCGAAAACACCAAAATTGTGATGCAAACCTAACCGCCTGGCTGTGCCACTAAGTCGCTCTGATGAGACGGGGGTATGCAACCAATATGTTCCGCCAGAAGGCCAATACTACGTGATCATTCGTTGAAGTTTGAAGACAATGGCGCAATCAAAAGCAATAGGTCAAGTTGTTGGGCGATGTCTACACCTTGACTATGAAACGCTGAGACCTACCAGGGTCAATTCGCCGGCATTCGACGGCATGTCCAAAGTCGCCTGACTGAAGCTGCCCAGTCCTTGAGGTAGTACGTCAAGTAAGTGAACTTCTCGGGAAAGCAGTTGTCGCCTGAGTGTCAGATTGCCGACGGTATGGTGGCAATCTGCGCCGTGATACAATGGCAAACTTGGGGCTCCACAAATATCTGCAGCTGTGTTGACGATATGCGTGATACCGCAATAACGAAGAGCATCCTCATCGCACGCCACCTGTGCCAAACATGCAAGGGCAGCAGTTGAAACTTTGGTCAATATGTTGTTCCCTGCTGGAAAGGCACTGGTTAGTCAGCGTGAAAAGTTGGACATCTGTGGCTTTGTCCAGGCTGGGTCCAGGCATGAACCAATATATACCAATATTGATCAACCTCCTCTCGCATGCAGTGCATTGAGGTGCTTGAGGAGCTGCTGAATTGTTTCGGCAAGAACAAAGATCACTCTTTGCACAGTTACTGGCAACCTCACTTTCGGTGCATCTTTCAAGCTGAATTCGTGGTCCTGGTTGAGTTGGCTTCCTCCACATCGAGTCACGCTGTCACGCTGCTGGTGGCTTGGCCGTTTCTGCATCTGGCTGTTGCCTGAAATTCCTTGTTCCTGGAGTCAAACAACGACCTTGTAGGCCGGGAAGTTAGCAAGCAAGCTGTTCGGTACACTTTAGCAGCTCCAGCTTTCCAGTACTAAGTGTGGCCTGCGAAGTGCACTTTGGAGGTCAAGGACAAGCGTTGCGGTTGCAAAGTACACCTTTTAGCAACTCCAAGTGGAGCATTCCGCACTGTTCAGCGTTGCTTTCGCTACTCCAGCTGAAACCTCGTAACTAACGCGCACGAAACCCATGGGCGATGACCCAGAACCACATGCAACATACCTTTCTTCACCCCACTTGTGACTCTGCCAAAATGTCAGCTCAATTCCTCATTTTGTTAACTTAACTTAACTAACAGAAAGCACGCCGAGAATCTCTGCAATCGCGAATCATTTCTTCCTGTGTGCAAGCCAACACCTTCTGCAAAATCGCAATCGTCGCCGCACCACAACTGCTGCGACAAGGCTTCGTCCTATATTTTGCGTGTCACAAGATGTTCTTGATCGCTGCCGGCACGATAGCAGCAGCACGCAAAGGTCAAAAGCTCCCTCTTGAACATGTCGCGCAGCATGAATCAACAGGAGAATGCTGGACACGCGTCTCTTACAACCCCATTCGATCTTTCTGAGTTGAGCTTAGATGCAAACCTGGGACCTTTCAAAGCATCCTGATTCCCTGAACTCGAATCCTCTTGCCGAGGGGGGTGGATGCCGTATATCTTCCTTCTCAACGCATTGTCTAAACCTTTTGCAAGGGTTGACAAGCATGTTGATCCCAAACAATCGGGGGTTTTAACACCAGCAATGGTGGTCAGGAAGAAACAAGAGGATAGCCCAGGAACTCTACCTGTAAACCACGAACACCTCCAAGAACATTGCATCCCTTACGCTTGCCGTATTTCTTTCAAATCAGCCATCAACAAACAAGCCTAGCTTCGGTCTCGCCTGGTAGCTGGAGATGTACAAGGACTTTGGCACAACCTCCGAGCAGACCTTGCCATGGCCACGTCGAGGCGTTAATCGGTTTCATGGGCTCACAGGCCGCCTGACGCCAGTGCTTCAGCTGGAGCCGCCGTTGGAGGTGGTCAGGCCTCGCGCGACACACACACACACACACACACTGGCGCCCCCACGCTGGCATCTGCTCATGGACCCTTGCTACCTTCTACCCTGATATCGATTAACATCCTTCTGTCTCTTCCTTGAAACATCAGTGGACGCAGTGTTTTGGCAGCTCCGGCTCGAAAGTCGCAACTTTTCAGTACGTACACAAAGTACACTTTGGCAGCTCCAGCTCGAACGTCGCAACTTTTCAGCACAAGTGTAGTATACAAAGTACACTTTGGCAACTCTCGGAAGTCGCAATTTTGCAGTACAACAACAGTAAAGTGTGGTATACAAAGCATATTCTGGCAGCTCCGGCCGAACAGTCGCAACTTTTAAGCGCAAAGGTAGTACACAATGTGCATTTGGGCAGCTCCAGTGCAACTAGCTTGATTCGGCATGATGGCTCATGAGTTTGGGTATTGGTTTGGGCCCTGCAACTTTCTGACTCTGCAATCTTGGTTTGCGACAACAACTTGGACCTGATGTGTCTTCATAGCTTCCGAGGGTATCATTTTTCATATTTTTCCTCAGCCTCGTTTGACAGTGTTCCAGGCCGGCAAAGAAAGAAAAGGGACGGGCCCTTACATATCGAAGCGCGCGGGGTTTCTTTTGCGACCCATATTGTACAGGAAGGCTTGTCACTTGCGAGCCATGCCACAAATGATAATTGTTCTCCTCGTTCTCCGGGTCGTAGCCTATACGAAACCCGGCGAACGGTGTGCCCGGCTTCGGCTTTTCCAGATCACTTTTCGTCTGCCGAGTCGCTTAGCTCGTCCTCGGGCGTGTGGATATCCTCGAGGTTCAAGGCAGGCGCCTGGAGCAGAGCCGAGAGAAGCGGAGGGAGCCTGGCACTCGCGAGAGGCGCTCCTCAGAGCGGAGGCCGTTGGCCTAGCCGAACGAATTCGGCACGAACGAAGTTGGGGAGTCAGGGGGATTCATAGGGTTGAGCAAAAGGTCCGTAAAACATGGGACCATTGGGCAAACTAAGATGAGATTTCAAGCACACGGGAAAAGTTACCTATGGTCATTTGGGGGCCAGGAATTTTGATCAACGCCCGTGTCATTGACTATGTCGGGGGGAAATCGCGGTGCATTGGGCAGCGCACGAGTTCTTGTCTTGGTGCATCTTGGGTGCTGACCGGCGCAGGAAACTTAGAGGCACCATCACTTCTGGCAGACTTCGGCGACTGTCCTGACGGCATTCTCTTCAGGAGACAGTTGCCTTTTTGCTTCAGGATCGCCTGACTTCCCAGGAATCGCCAGCTGCGGAACTTGAGGAACTCCATCTCTGGCTGTGCGGGGTGCTGCCTGCAGTGCTTCATGATTCGTCATTGACTCATGCCTAGCACAGGCCAAGCCCCCAGGGCTCAGGCGGCTAAATTCAAACTTGGCAGGTTCGAACTCGGTCTTGCCTAGCCAGTTGGTCGATTTCGAGGAACACGCTCAGCATGATATGAATCCAAACTCTGTGGTTCGCTGGGACTCGCGGCCGTTTGCGGCGTCCGCTGGTTTGATTCATCGGCCTCATCCCTGGCGAATGTGCGATGCTTGCCAGCCAGATACGGTGACACGTCAAAGCTTGCCAGGACTTCCCGCGCTGGCGCTTGCGGCTGCTGCTGCTGTCGACCTCGTCTACCTGCAATTTTGCTGGGCGCCCAATGGTTGACTTCACTTGGCTTTTCTTGAAATCTAAATCCACCCTAGCAATCCTGGCGAACAAGGCCTGCCTCCATGCCCTCGGAAGACGTGACACCTCGCCACACCAACCGGAGGCACAAACTTCCACGTGATCCTTTGAAGAAAATCGCTTGATTCATTGGTGTCGCAATCCGAGTAGGGATTTGAGGGGCGCACCACAAAATTCCTTTCTGCTTGCCACCCGTGTCCCTAAGACTGGTGCTGCTCCCACTGGTAGCAGTGGGCGATGTAGTAGCCGTGGCTGCAGTGGCCGCTGGCCTTTCGGAGCGACCAAACCAGTCCATGTCAGGTTTCATGGAATATGATCTTTGGGTAAGTCTCAAAAACTAGGTCTCCGTTTGGTTTTCTTTTGGGGATCTTTGGGTAAGAACTCAAAATTCGCGGTGTCCTTTTGGTTTCCATTTGACACCGAAACAACCTCCTAAAAAAACTGTTGGTTTCCATTTGACAGCGAAACGGCTCGGTGCCAAATATGGAGAAGCCCCGCCGCGCTTTTTCCGCTTCTTCTGCCTGGCGGCTGCGCCCAGTGAGCCCAGTGCAAGGCGCGGCACGACTGGTCGGCCTGGCATGGTCTCAAGCTGGAGAGTCCAGTGGCCATGGGAAAAATCCAAATCGTACCCCAGGGAACATCCCAATCCCCACTAAAATCGGTTCTAAAATGGGTGGGGCACTTACCCCAAATTGGTACCATTGGTTTTGACCCACAGTCATTTGTTTTGAGTGTCCCATGAATTGGTGGCTTGGATTGCTACACGAGCAAGTGGTGCCGGGTTCAAACCACCAACCAGTGATCTGATTTATCGTGTTCGGAAAGTCGTGTGCCTAAGCAATCTGGCGCTTTGCGCGTGGACTATCTGTCCCGACGAAACTGAGGAAGCATTTGACTACATACTGAGGGAAATCGAATAAATTCCTCCAAAGTTCAATACTAGATAAAGAGATGCCACAGCGGCATTGGAGTGTTCTAACAACGTGTATAAGCAGCGCGGCTGCGGCCAAGAAAAAACGGGTCATGCCGCGCTCAATTGAGGAATTACGTAGACTGAATGTGAATTTGATAACGTTAGGTGCTTAAGGCTTAGTGAGGTTCTTTCTTCTTGTATAAATATCAACTCCAAAAGGCCAACATCAAACACAAGCATACTTAAGAGAAGAAATTCATGAAGACAGCCTCCAAACCAATAGTTAAAGGATGAATCAATACTCTAGAAACGGCTTGGATGTGGCTCTTGTCCTGTCGGATACTAAAAGAGTACTAAAACAGATCACCAAAAAAGGGGCCAACAGGGGGAAGACCGGGTGAAATCCCGAAAAAGCGCGTCAAAACGTTTGTCTAGAAATCCCTAGAGTCTCCATGACCCTCAAAAAATGGGGCCGTTGCCCAAAATTGAACTGGGTCTCGGACCTATTTTTGAAGTGCCAGGTACTGGAAATTCCGAGCTCCGCCACCGCGCAATGCGCATTTTGGCGCGACTTCTCGCCTGCCGGCACCGGAGTGGCGAGGCTCGGCACCGCTGGTGGGCCACCTGGAGCTGAGGCACCCTCCCATGGCCTTTTGGCAAGATAGATGGGTTTCCCTGATAAATGGGGCATAAACCCCATCTAAACCAGGGCCCTCTATTTTTTTTGAAGCAAACCAAAAGGGACACCTATGCTCCCAGCCATTAACATGGAACCTGACGTACGGGGCTCCGTCCCCAAACCAGGACCCCAACGTCAGGTTCCATGTTGATAGGGAGGGCCCGGAGGGCCATCAAAGTTCAGCAAGCATTTATGTCCACCAATCACTTTTGAACTCATACAATTCGTAGCCACATTTGGTAAAGGATGCCTCATTCAGTGGAGAACTCCACTCCGGATGAGTTGAAATGGCTGCATTCAAGACACCATCAACCATCACCCAGCCATCTACGGTTCATGCCCGGCCCCACTACCATAAGAACAACACAGTGTCCCACCTCCTCCCGTAAGCTGGGGCACACCTGATCAGAAAAGAAGCAGCTTTCAGCAAAGTAGAGGCAGAAGCTCGAAGCCCTGCCTGGCTTCCCGGGATGTGCACTGACCTGCATGCCAGCTGGTTCCGTGTTACTCCTTGCTGGGACGAACGCGCCTCCTTGCTGAAACCATTCGGCGGGGCTGCTGGAGTCCTTCCAAAGGTTGCCATAGGAGACACGGTCAACTCTCCAGCGAGAGGATTGCATATATTGCAGACGACGACGTGAATGATGCAACTGAAGCAACATTTATCGTGGCTCGTGGGCTCGAGGCAAGCTGTCCCCAAGTCTTTCCGAATGGCTCGGCCAAGGCGGGGCCAGAGTCTGGCATGCTTTTCCGGAGCATCCTCGGGAAGGAATGATTGGTTTATAGGTTCAAGGGTCATGGCCAATCCACCTCACGTCAATTTGAGCGTTGTTTTTGACATGTTTTCAAGTTTCCAAAGCTGCCAGGATGCTGCTGTCAGGTTGGCCAGTAGGCCATTGCGTGCAGAATCCTCAGCATTTACTGGTAAAGCAGTGCTTGCTAAAATGTACATCTCAGCTCGCCTCAGCCTGGGTTGAGCTCTCATTCGCTTTCACGTCCTGCACTGGGCAACCACAACATAGCATTGGACTCTTCAGGGCGATCTGCAATCCGAGAAAGCAACTCATCCAATCGCTGTCCTGACATCCTTTTATGAGTGTAGACCTCCTGCAAGCCACAGCACCGCAACACCACGCCAAACAGAACCGTATCGCGAATTTCCATGTCTTCTACAAAGGATGGCCTGAAAGACTCGATAAAGTCTCTCTGCCACGGAAGCGTCTTGCGGAGAAGACCTGCCCAACACGTCGGGCAAAGACTCACGACCCACCCATTTTCCAACTTGGGTGCGCGCTGTCCAGCTCGTAGGCTTTGCTCAGCACGCTGGCCTTGAAATCTGAGTTCGTCCAAAGGTCTCAGACGTTTTTGTTGGACGTTGTCCAGCCCCATTTTGTGGGGTGCCTTGAGCTTGGAACCATTCAACAGTGTGCTTCATGGCTTGCTCTCAAGCTTTCCATTGACGAAATTCTGTGAATGGTCAATGGTCGTGCGGGTGCAGCTAGGAATCAACATTGCCGCCATGGCAAATGAACATGCCAGCCATCCCTTCCGTAGCTGGGCGTCCCAACCCGGAACAAAGGCTCGGTGCTGCGGCCATGCCTGAACGCTCAAGGCACATGGATCTGCACATGTCCCAGGCCCTTGTTGCAATCAAAGAAAAGACCTGTGCACCTACTGGTGCCACTCACGGGTTCCACTGGCCCCTTTTTGCTTTTGCGACCGCTCCGGGACTGCAACGCTCATGGCACAGCTTGCCACCGAGCTGCCAAACGAAAATTGAATAGCGGATGCCAGGCCAGGGCTGGCGAGTCGACATCCACTTGCCGCGACACTTCCACAGTTCCCACACTGACTCAACAGCAAATGCTCATCTGGTCCTGAAAGTCGCTCCAGCGAATCTCCGGCGCAGCAAGTCCGCGGGGGGTGCATGTAGCACCTGGACACACGTATGTTTACGTATATATTATGTATACACAGTATGTAAATCTATACATTATACAACTATGCATAGGCATATACAGTAGTTGTTTGCCACTCAAGCGCGTACACTGTGGACAAGCTGCCGAGCATGTTTTTGACAGTTTCAGCCACAAGCCTCAATTACGCATATTCAAAGCCACCAGCCATGTCTGGAATGGAATAGCTGACACCGATTCAAGCCGCGTAAGCGCAATCCACTATGCAAACAAGAAACCCGCGGCCGCTGCGAATTCGTTGATGGCAGCAGCGTTGCTAGGAGGCAGCGTCACCTGATGCAATCACCATGGAGCTGCATCCCTGTGTCGCAGTTGGTTTAAGGATGAGCTACCGCCAATCACATGCACAAACAGGAACATGCCAATGCAAGTAAATACAAACACGTATTGTGGTATATAAATTCCACGGGCCAAAGCTCGCTGTGGGCAGTGCCCTCCGATATCATTGGCTTTGTGAGTGATACAACATATTTCACTGTGATTTGGTGATTGTCCACCGCAATGCCCTTCATTGTAGTGGATGACTGAACCTGGACTATTACATGTCTATTATACAGCGTACACATGAATGTTATACTTGTATGCTATACAAGATGCTTTGTATTGACTTTATACAATATGACATACTGTATAAATTCAATATATAGTATTCACGCAAGGAATTGCGTCCCGCGCATCGCCACGTCCTGAGGGCCTGGCTGCACGAGTGCCAGTTCCCTGGATGTGTAGGATCACATAACTGGAACTCCTGACAGGTCGCGACGTGGCTCAGGTCGCGACAGCTCGAAAAGAGCCCAGCTGGTGCTGAGTGGCTTCTTTTTTTGAGAGCACGGATGCCTAACAAATTGCAGAAATCGGCAGTGCCAAAGGGCATCCCTGACCGGATCTCTCCCAATCTGCGAGCTTTAGCAGCTTGATTCAACTTGCCATGAACTAAAACGATTTCAGAAACCATTGGGCACCTCGTGCCGGGATGCTAAGTTTAAAGCCTGTCGGCCCCAGCATGGTCATGGTTGCCTAAGACCCGTAGTCAGGGAATGACCATCTCATGTACACCAAGCTGCATATTTCCGAGGCTCTGGAGCTGTCCTATGCAGCTGTGCGCAGAAGACTCCGGCGCTGTCACACAGGGACACCGGCGCCTCAGCTTCGGTGGCTGTGCCTGGACTGTTTATCTCAGCCATCCCCTACATTTGACCTGTCTCGTTTTGCCAGCCCTCATATCCAGGAAGCACACTAGTCCCGACATTGCATGTCAAGTAGCTACAACAACAGGGGAAAAATCACGCGATAATGCTTGCTCCCCAGTATCTGTAGGATACCGGATGGAGCCAGCTAAAATTCCAGGCCTCCACGATGCTTTTGCCGCGGGTCTCAAAGCGCCAAGCCTGGAGGCTGAGTGCTCATCTGAGTCATAATCAATAAAAACCCGGTATTTCAATGGTCTACCCAGAACCATGTAAAGAATTCAGAAGGCAGCCGCAGCTATTTGGCCATGGGTCAAAATGCCGTACCCCCAGTGAACATCCCAATCCCCGCTAAAATAGGTTCCAAAATGGGTGGTGCACCTACCCCAAAATGGTACCATTGGTTTTGACAACCACAGCCATCAGGTTGGGTGTGTTTTTTGACTAAGCTTCATCCACCGGGGTTTTGATTGCGGCTCATCTCTCCCAGCGCCATGCGGTGCTAACACCACTCATCCCACTGAAAACCCATTCCCAGCCCGGTCCTTCACATGATGCGCGTGGCCCAAGTCTAAGGAGCCAGGCCTTGGTCACTGTCACTTGTGAGAAGCACAACGCCAGCTTCGGCGCTTCCGCGCTTGGGCGGCGGCTCATGGCTGGCCCCGCTGGGAGCACCTGACACTCTGTTTATGCGTGGTTTGGTCAAGCAAATGGCCATGGATCAAAATCCTACCCCCAGTGAACATCCCAATCCCCACTAAAATAGCTTCTAAAATGGGTGGTGCAGCTACCCCAAAATGGTACCATTGGTTTTGACCCACAGCCAAATCATCAACTTCTTGTGGGGAAGACCCAGACATATCCTGAAGGGCCAGGGCAAACCGCAGGTCTTAGTCTTTGGTTCCATTTTCCAAGGTGCCATTTTGGGTCCCATTTGTTGGAGCCATTGGTTGGAGCCATTTGGAGCCATTGGTTGGTGCCGCTTTTTTCAGCCACAGCCACAGCCATCGATGGCACCTAGCAGCTCCTTGAGGCCCAAAGGGTCGGCTTCAACACCTTGGGACAAGGCGCTGCGCCAACGGCTCAGTGGCCGGGGGAATGCACCTTTTGGGGTACCTGGGGTTGCAGCCACGTGATTTGCTACCTTTCAAGGGGTTGCAGTCAGGTGATTTGCTACCTTTGGGGGGGTTGCAGTCAGGTAATTTGGTACCTTTCAAGGTCCAAATACCTTGGCTCTTGGCTCTCTACGAGTTTGCCCCCTCGATTCCCTGCTTAATATACTCAGTACATTCCAAAACCGCTTCCTCCAAAGTGGCCACCTTGTTCTAATGCCCATCAATCACGCCAAGCAAGGAGCATCGAATTGCACGCAATAGCAACAGCGTGCAACGTAAGTAGGGGGGGTCTTCTTCACCGTTTCGTTGTTTGTTGAGTTCCAATACTTGTCCTTTCAAACGCGGGTGATTAACTTGGTTTGGTAGTCAGGCCCTGGCATAGCAACCATGGGCAGGTGTCAATTTGACATTCGTCCCAAAAAACAAATGCCCACGATTCAGGAGGCTTCAAGCCACGCATCCTTAAATGTGCCGCCAGTCTGTAAAAGTCTCAAAGTCGGGTGACTCACACCGTCATCAAAAAGCTTCACGTGCACAAACCTCTTTCAAGCCCTTCTGAGAGCTCTGCTGACACCCTGTCCCATGCCTATGGCAAGCTTCAAGGTAAAGGATTCAAATTTGTCTGTGGCTGAGGTGCTTGGAGATGTCCTATCTCGGAGATGTCATCCCTCGGCATGCCGCTTCCACAATTGCTACCCCCACTGTTGACACTCATGTTCTTCCAAAACAAGGCCGGCAAAGATCTGAGGATTGTCATCGTCTCTTGTCTGGCTGCATGAGATTCATGCCAAAAGCAAAAGTACATGCTTGAGCCACCATCCGCGAGGTGCGCACTGTCCATGCAGTACTTTGTTCAGGCATTGCTGGACGAGTTTAACGCATAGAGGGTTGTGGCCCTGCTCAACAACATGGGCCAAGGTGAAGCCAACCTCTTTGGAATACGGAGCAATCAACCGGTATCGATTCGCCGATATCAAGCAATGAGGGCATTGAACGTTGCCCTTCACGCGTCCGGTGCTAGAAGCACGAGGCACCAAATACATTTCCAGCAGGTAGACAAAGTTGACCTCATGGCGACTGCAGAATGCATAGCATCGTTGGCCTGTCTCTCACCATGTGGCTTTGCAAGGAGCTGTATTGCACCTGCGTCAGCCCGCACCCTACTCAATATCTACGGACGCGATATTTTTTCGGGCTTGGCGGCCAAAAGGGAAAGGACAAGGCTTTTTAGATGTTGGAGGGCAGTCGCAGGAACCTTTGCAAGCTTGATGCGATGGACAAACCTGGTCAACAAATGCTCGGCTTCGAGTCCAATGGGAGAGGCGCTTTGCACTAAGCCGGCCACCAATACCCGCCACGTCTCTTGAATCAAGCGTTCTGCACGGGCTTGCAATGGCTTGCACGCATTCTCCCTGCCATTTGGCCATGGGTCAAAATCTCGTAATTACCCCAGTGAACATCCCAAGCCAACCACTAAAATAGGTCCTAAAATGGGTGGTGCACCCCAAAATGGGATCCCAAAACCGTTTTGACAACCACAGCCATTTGGTTTCCCTTCAACCACTCCTGGCAGTTGCGCATTCTCCATAAAGCTCTGTTCGTTTGTTTCTGAAGAAAGGATTACCCCCAAAAACTGGTCTGCCAGTTGGCTGTGGGTCAAACCAATGGGACTCCACTTTGGGGTTTTCGGTGCACCACCCATTTTAGAACCTAGTTTAGTGGTTGGCTTGGGATGTTCACTGGGGGTACGGGCTTTGGGATTTTGACCCATGGCCATTTCGTCTTTATTTTCCACGTCTCCCACCAGTTATCACGCCTTCCGCTCCGCGCCTAGGGGTGGAGTGCTTCTTGCAGGTGTGCGCTGCAAAAAGGCCAGCGCGCTGTCTGCGATCTGCCACGGGAAGCATGAGGCTGTGTCTTATGCGGGGACCTCCAAAATGGGTGGCTGCCCCTCGGCAGCCAAAACGCTCCCCCCAAAAAAGGTATTTCAAAAAAATACACATGAGTCATTTTGAGTGACATAGGGTGGTTTCTTTACTTAACCAACACTCACCAAAAGGGGTATGTTCAAAAATATGTCTGAGCCGTTCTGAGTGACATGGGGTCAGGCTTCCCTTGTAAAACCCACACTGCTGAACAATGCACAAGCAAGCGTCAAAAAACGGACTACAGGCCATCGCGACAAAATGCACTTGCAGCATAAGTCGCCTCCTGATACATGACCGTGTTCAACACAAAGGAAATGCAATAGATCGGGTAGATCCACAAGACCTGCACTGCCGCACACTGTGTGAAGACCAAGATCAGCAACGTTTTGGCAACTGCGGTGCAACATTCACACGCCAGATCACCATCAAAGACTCCATCTCCCCGCGATTCTTGCTGGCAGCTCCCATGACCGCAGCTGAAGCACAATTTGACTGCAACAAAGCCAAGCCATGCCTTGTACATTGCTGACAGTGAACTTGCCTTGGATCAGGACCGCTTCAGAAAGTCGACATTCATCCTCTTCGGCAATTGAGTCAGGCGCGGCGAAGTCAGTTGCCCACGCGACATCATCGCCCTGGCCATACAGGGTCAACCACAAGACAGAATCGTCAAGCACACCGAAGAAAAGCCAACCATTTGTAGGGGGCATGATCATCATTTTAGATATTCCAACATGCACCCGCAACTGTCCTGCACTAAGCGCTTGAGGGTGTAGAGAGCCTAGGATATGGATGCATGAAGCAGATCCAGCGTAGGGCATGCCGAGGTTGCAACAGGCTCCACGGTAAAGTTGAAGAGGATAATGCTGCACAGGAGTCAACAGCACATCACACAGGGAGCTTGGAACATATTTCCAAGCCAGGTTGACATGAGAAAGCCAACCCATGGGCAACAATCCGTAGGGCACACTGCCGGCACCATCTGCAGCCAGGCACATGTCAAAAAGCCTGACGTTTTGCAGTGATAACTTTCCCAGGCCTGCCCAGAAAGATGACCCCGTTCAGTATGAAGCACTGCATTGTCCTCACAGGCGCTAAGGGCAGTTTGCCTGGTCATCGGCTCACAAACCTTGTCAGCGCAGCAGCAAACCAACATCTCCACGGCCGTTGCGAATGTCATAATCTCACACACCAGAAGCAAACAGATCAACCAACCTACCCACCCACACATCCACCCACCCACCCACCCACCCATCCACCCACCAAACAAACAAACACAAAAACACGCACGCAAACAAATAAATCCACAAACAAACCCGCAAACAAAGCCACAGACAAACAAACACACAGCAAACACGCAGACAAACAAACAAGCAAGCATGCAAGAAAACACAACATAGGACATAGGGCATAGGCACAAACAGGCAATCAAGCATGCTTTGCAAGCAAGCGAGCAAAGAAGCAGGCAAGCAGCCACGCAATCAAAACCAATCGAAACAAACAACATGCGCAATCACACACAGACACAGAGACACGAAGAACACAGACACAGATCCAAGACACGGAGACGCAGAGACAAACAAACAAACCAACACAAACACACCAACAAGCACACGCAAACACGCTACAAGCAGCAAGCAGGCAGGCAGGCAGGCAGGCAGGCAGGCAGGCAGGCAGGCAGGCAGGCAGGCAGGCAGGCAGGCAGGCAGGCAGGCAGGCAGGCAGGCAGGCAGGCAGGCAGGCAGGCAGGCAGGCAGGCAAGCTCAACGAAAATAAAGCAACAAACCAACATGCAACCAAGCAAACAAGCAACCAAACAACCAGTGAACCAACCAAAGGCTGAACCAACCCACCTGACACAACAGAGCAAGGAACTTAGCGCAAGAACCAACCAACCAACCAACCAACCAACCAACCAACCAACCAAACAAACAAACAAACAAACAAACAAACAAGCACACACACACACAAACAAACAAACAAACAAACAAACAAACAAACAAACAAACAAGCAAGCAAGCAAGCAAACAAACAAACAGCCGGCATCGACCAATACGACACTCTAAACTGGCACTCTGACGAATACTACACCAACGCTCGTTTTCTGCGATTCTAAGTGTTGCTAGGGACCGTTTCCGGGCCCGAAAAGGGGCGCAAGAGTGCACCACTTGGAGAAGCCCATGATGACCCAAGTCGCCAGGAGCCGGCCAGGTGACGTTCGGGGGGTCCTGGTTTGGACCAATTTCCTTATAAAGGGACCATAGGGACCTCCTGTCACGTGCCATCTTCATTCGTGGAAAGGTATGTCTAGCTTCATCCGGGGCCGTGGTGCTTACGCCGGACTGGATTTCCCTCTCCTGAACCGAATCCTCTCCGAGCGCGCGAGGAAGTAAATACACTGATGCAGCATCAGCGCATCTTTGACTCCTGAAAGCCTCAGGTTGAAGCAAGCGATTGGCCCTTGCCAGACTTGTGTTTTCGCTGGTGGTTTCCCCGTTGGTTCCTAGGCCACAATAGCAAGGCTAGACTCCGAATACTTCCAATGCCTGAGTTCCATCACTGGTCTTCGGTCCACGGCACTTGCGCTGAGTGCGAGACCACACAGCGCCAGCTTCTTGCCAGGGTCCAACCTCCTTTCCTGCAAGGCAACTTGCTGCTTGGGCGGTTTGGGAGTCGGGCATCGGGTTTGGGAGGATCGAACACTTGCATCATCCACAGCAAGTTTCACTTGCTGAAGCCTAACTAGGGGTGTTGTCCTGTGCAGAATGCTCCTGAGTTTCGTTCATAGTTAAAACAAATCAGTTACCCATGGGAAGGTTTTTGAAGGGGGTCATGATCTTTCAATATAATGAAACTGAATTCGTCGCAGGTCTGCATCGGTGGCTTTGGCTATCATGCGTCTGTGTCTAACTCGGTTTCAATTTGTGGTGACGACGGACGCGCGTGTGCCGGCACTTGGCGGAACACGAAGCTTGAGATACTTGCGACATGGTACAAGTGGTTGGCCGATATGCCGATTCGTTTCCCGCGCGGAGATCATCAAGCGGCTTGCCAGTTCCGAGCCTCAAACTTCCGCCCAAACCAGAGTGTCCAGCTTCTTCTTAGCGCCCTCGATATATTTTTTGGGTGCTATGATCCATTCTGAAAATAAGGGCACTTAGTCCTAAACAAATATGCTGAGCACTAAATTTATGCTGGGTGAATACTCTTAGCTGGTCAAACTCAATTGCACACTCCAAGGCAACCACATCGGAGTCTACACCACCGTTCGAGACGCAAACACAAACGCATGTCTCAACTGCAACGACCCACTGGATAGCTTTCCACAGGGCGCTTCAGGAACGACCCCAGAGAAATGAGACAAGTCTCCGAAATTGGCAACTTTGGCCATCATGGCTCCTTTTTCAAGTTGAGGTAGCTGATAAATAAGAAGCTCCTCAACCACCCAACCAGTCCAAGCCACCAATTGGAGGAAACTCACCCCTCAATTTTGCGTAAGCCCTCGAGTGTCTGAGATAAACCGCCCATCGGCACACCTCCCGCTGGCGAGCCCTGGGCGGGGCGGGGGGCTCGGCTCGGAGGCCTTTGGCACCTTGAAGCCAGACGCTCGAAGTGGAGCTTTTTCGGGGGCGTGAAACTTCCTGGCCCAGGTTGGTTCTCCTGTTTGCATGTCCATGGAGACTGCAACCTGAGAAGAGGGGGAAGAAAGCTAGCACGGCGGAAACAAATGGGGAGAAATGAAGAGTGGGCAGAGAGCAACGAAGAGGGCGGAAGAGCGAGAAGAAGGCAAAGAAGCGCGAGAAACCTAGGCGGAAGCCGAGCCGAGAGCAAAGCGGGACCAGCGGGCAGAATTGAGAAGAGCAGGGAAAAGGTAGAGGTGTTTTTTGTTTTCCTAGGGCTGGTTCTTCCTAGCGCTGGTTTTTGTTAGGCCTGGCAACATCCCCAGCACCCAGGGCGTTCCGCGTTGGGGGCAAGAGGCGGTATCCTCCATTTTCTGCTGGGAGCCGGTTGGCAAATTGGGCGCATCCCCAACCGAAGTCACTTGGACCTGGGGTTGCATGTTGGCTCCGATTGGGTGGGGTGGCAGTTGGGATTTGCCTGGCACAGGGAAGGGGTTTTCTTTGGGTGCGTTTGGGGTTGGCTTGGAGCCGATTTGGCTTGCTTCAGGGATGTGAGTTGTGGGTAAGTTTTGGTGGTTTGGGGGAACGCTCCAAAACCAATCCTCACCCAAAACTCGCTTAACCACACCCAACCCTAATGCGGCTGCCAAACCAGCAGCACACCTAACACAAATCAGCTCCAAGCCAACCCCGAACCCACCCAAAGTCAACACTAAACCTGCCCAACAGCAGCCTGGATGTCAGCCCTTTCCGGAGCCTGAATCAACCCCAAACCAACCCAAGACCCACTCCCCCTAAGTTGAGCCCGCCCTGAGCAACTCCGAACTGCCACCCAGTCAAGCCAACCCGAGAGCGGAGAGAAAAGTACCACACAAGTTAGAGTCAAACAAAGCGGGGGCACGGAGCGCAGGGACTCAGAAGATCGGGGAGACGTGTCGGTGTAGAAAAGCGAAGGGCAAAGCAAACAAAGCAAAAAAGCAGCCTTAGAGAGCGGGGAAAAGAGAGGAGTGGCCACTGGTGTGAGGGTGCCCGACTTCAGTCACTCAAGGCTTGCTTTGGAGGGCTTCATCTGCGGTTCAGGAATGAACACGGCAACGGCATGAGCATGCCTTGGCAGGCGCCATGGGTGCGGCGGGCATTGGGTAAAGTAATCCCTCCTGGAGCAAACAAAAACATATTCTGTCTGTCATATCCTTCGTTCAGCTGGATGTTGGTGACTCGCAAAGTGTGGAGCTGCTCTGAGGCACTCTGTGTGAAGCTTATGTTTTCAGTAGGCATGTGCAAGCATTGGCAAACCACACATGAATGCATATGCACAATACATATTATTGCAACACATCAATGCAGTTCAGTGCATATGTCATGAAATTACGGTTTGCACGACGCAAAACACGATGCACAACGATGGTAAAAGAAAAAATGGTGTCGGCCATCAGTGCTCCTGGTCTCCCATACAGAAACAATGATTAGATTGGCTCTTCGTCTCCCTGCTACCTATTGATTCACTACCACTTAGGTCCCTCGCTGCCAGCTTGCCGCAACGTTACCCTTGCATAGGGACAGTCCTAGAGACCTTGAGCCAAACGTGCGTCAGGATTCATGGCAAAAGAGTGAGAATCAACTGCATCAGCCGCACAAATAGATTCCGCAGGTCCCCCTGCAGAACTTTGCAGATTCTCACACGATGAGAGCTTCTTTCTGTGAGGGCGGTGCATTAGTCACTTGACACAATGCACGCCGGGATTTCAGAATTTGCACCGTCGCGCTGTTGCTGTCACACGAATTCACCCCTGCAGGGTCTCAAATTGGAAAACTTGGAGGCCAGGTCATCTAGCAACGTGGCTTGAACTTTTCTATGCTTCGCACACCCAAACTTTGGTGGCGAAAAGGGGCACTCCCTTTGCGGCTGCTCAGCACCTAGCTGGGGAACAGTGACGCAACTATGGACACACACACACACACACGCACGCACGCACGCAAGCACGCAAGCACGCACGCACGCATTTATGTGCGTGCAAAAAAAGATGACATTGGGGAGGGAGCAAGTGCATGCACCTCACTCCAAACCAAGTGTGAGACAAGTCAATGGGTCGAGATGCGTTTGGGATGTGTGTCAATTCTCCACGAAAGGGGGCCTCCACAATGGGGCCAAGCTCCTCCGCGCCTTCGCTTCACGCGATAGCTGCGGCACCGGAGTCACTTGTGTCCCAGCTCAGCTTCCTGGACGCAAGCCATAAATCATATTGCGAACGTCAGGGGAAGCCTATCTTTCTTTTCAGAAGTCATCCCAAGGTTCAAGGATTTGTTCACTTAAGCTTACAACCCAAAAATGGGGAGGCAGCCGAAAGTCCCAAAACCAACCTTGAGATACGTTCAGTGTTATTTAACTGAGGAGTCAAGGTTTTGCTTCGGTGAACGCTTTCAACTCCGCCTGCCTCATCTTGGCGTCCGTCCTTAGGTGTGAATTCACTTGGTCTCGAGAGACCACCATGCACACTCAGCAAACCAATGCGTTTCGTATCTCAGGTTTGACTGTGCCAGCCGACATCCAGCAATACTCAGGCGGCCAGATTATGTATAATACTTGCCTTTTGATCGTACCCTACCTGCTTCTGCGTAAACCAAGCTGCGGGTACTTCAAATCTCGTGCAAGGCCAAAAAACTCCAGAACCTTGATGGTGTACCAAGTCATGTCCTGAGCAATGCGTGCGCGCACATACAAAGACCATACACATTGTACAATGGTACATGGGGATTGGTCAGAGGTCCACTACCCCGAAACAGACATCTTCACCGGGAAAAAGCAAACGCAATGACTTTCGCAAATCGCTCGCGCCACCCTCTCCGTACACTTTATATAGAGTTGGCACAATTTGCCAGTTCAAGAATAGGCGAGCGAAATGCACTTGTGCTTTTCAGTAGACCAGAAGCCTTTTAATCAACCCCCCCACACATGAAAGACAAGACATGCATACATGCACACACCCGCGCACGCACACGGACACGCACACGCAAACACAAAGCACACACACACACACAAACAGGCAAACAAACAAAAAACAAACACGCTCACACACACACAAGCGCACACACACACACACAAGCACACGCACACACACACAAACACACACACACACAACCCCACACACACACACAGACAGACACAGACACAGACACAGACATAGACACAGACACAGACACAGACACAGACACAGACACACAGACAGACAGACAGACAGACACACACCCCCACAGCCACAAACACAAACACAAACACAGACAAGACACATGGGGGTTGTTCAAAATAACAGTTCCTGGAAACGGCCCTTTCGCCGGCCTTTCGCGGTCCTTTCGCGGCCCCATGTTTTCCTTTCGCGGTGACAAACCAGTCCTGAAAAACTTGTTTCCGAGTCCAAACGAGGGTTCTACCATGTATTCGTTATGTTTCAAGTCCTTTCGCGTTCCTTTCGCCGGCCTTTCGCGATGCAGTGTTTTCCTTTCGCGCTGGACCTTTAGAACCTCCCTTTACTTAATTTTAAGACTGGCAATTTAGAACGACTCCCACATACAGACACATACGCAGACAAGACACAAACACACCGCACTTACGCACACGCAGGCACACAAATGCCTAGACAAGGCATGGAAACGCAGACATGAAGCCCCATAAACACGTAGGCCCCAAGACGCAGAGCCAGAAAGACGCAAACGCGTAGAGTGACACAGAACACACAGACAGAAACGCAAAGCAAAATACGGAGACACACAGAGACACACATGGTACACACAGATACACACATCTACGCAGATCACACATACACACAAATACGCACAAACACGCACCAAAATATATGTTTTAACTAAAACAAACCATAATATACAGAGGCACTGAGCACACATGCACGCACACACACACAAACTCACACATGCACACAAGCACGAACAGACATGCACACAAGCACGAACAGACATGCACACAAGCACGAACAGACATGCACAATATTGTCTAATATAAACATGGGCCAAATATACATTCATATTGTGCACTTGTACGCACATCTCAGCAAGCAATCAAGTGTGGCAATCAATAACTGAGCTGTCCACGATTTGCCACCACTTCCTCGGCGTGTTTTTCTTTTGCCGTTCTACAGCACGCATTCGCGAGTTCGCGAGTTCTCGGGCCAGCGGCAGACCATGCCGGCAGGAGTTCTCGAAGGCGTGGTGATTGTTGTGCCATCCTTCACCTGCGATGGGCAGAGAGGCTTGAGAGCTCGATCTGTGCAGGCGGAACCACCCGTGGTTCTGGGTGTCGCCCAGAGCTATAAGATTTCGCAACCTGAAATAAGGTGGTTGGGGGGCTATTCCCCACACAAACCACCATTTGGGGTGAATTCGGTCGTGTGAGGTCGTTATAATTCACCCAGAGTTGGTCAAAACAAGAGTTGTGAGCTGAAAAACAAAATGGTTTCGGCCGAAAAAAGCGGGGGAAAAAAGAAAAGAAAAGAGAGAACGGCAGAAATGGACTGATGATCTGATTGTTCCAAGGCGCCAAAGGCAAGAATCCCCACCAGCCAGTTGTTCATGGAGATGTCACCAGTGTTCCAATCTTGGAAACCTGAGCCATCGCCATGCAGAGAAAAACTCTGCTTTCCAGTTGTCCAGTTTTTTTTTTGGCGCTTGTAGTTTTTGACTTGACACATTGAACATATCTTTTTGTGTTAAATTCGCAAGTTCTGGAGCAACTGGAGCTGCACACGCACCACATGGGAAGCAAAAGCCCACAGGGGTTCTTAAACCTGGGCAAGCTGCCCCACACGTGGCTCACGGAGTTCACGGCCCACGTCACATGCCATGTGAAGACCACCCGGGCGAAGAAGCCCCAAAGCACCTCGGCGGCGCGCAAAATGATCACCCTTCGCTCCAAACGAAAAAATACAACAGCATAGATACCATACACAGTTGCCGTGCTTCTGCGACCAGCACTCCATCATTCCGACTCGCCGACTCTTCTGCGACAACCCCAGATAGCCAAACACGTGATGATTGCATGCCAGCACAAACAGCATCCCGAAATACTGTAGCACCTGCACAGGAATCCCCCAATTGCATGCCCCCCCCACCCTGCCGTCAATCTCGCAAAAACATACCTAGCCATCACCAGGCCCCCCAAAACAGCACCTGCGCCAGCCGAATCTCGCAAAGACGCCACGCGTCACCAGCCCGCCCAAAACCATCCGCACTCCGCACCATCACCACGAACAGCACCCCCAAACGGCACCTCGCAAATATGCAGCCGCACCATCACCAGCACCTCAAACAGCACCCCAAACACCATCCCCAAAACAGCACCTGCGACAGCACCCCAGACTGCACGCCCCGTAGCACCCTACCGTCAATCTTGCAAAAGCGCGCCCGCACGGTCACCTGCACACCCCAAAACAGCATGCGCCCGCACTATCACCAGCAGCTCAAACAGCACCCCAAACAGCACCTACAAATCACTGTCCCTTCTTTATTAGAAGTTAGAACCCCTATAGCTTTCAGCTATCTGGAGACTGAGACGCACTTGGGCATGGTTTTCTGACCCCGAGTTGACCATAGCCCGTTTTGGAAATTCTGAGGACAGCGCAAACGGCAGGCCTCCCCAAAGATACAGCCCCACGATAGGCAGCACGATGGCCTCACTGACTCACCGCTTTGCGTGAGGGACTTCGATCAGGCTCGTGCTTGCTTGTACATGCGCTTCGCCAAAGGCTCAGGCATGAATGGGGTATGTCTTCTGCAGGAATCTGTAGTACCACCTTGGCAGCGCCGCTGGAAGATTTTACAACTTTCCGGAAACGTCAAGCACCATGCTGAAGCCATTCTCTTACCTTCACTTGTTGCGTTGAGTCGCTGCTTGGACAAGTCCTCGGCATTGCTCCTGTCCACCCTCATCCAGGTTCCCTGCAGCACACGTTGCTTTTGCGGACTGGCGTCGATTCACATGCCAGAGCACATAGGTGCGCTTTTTGGACGAATAGATGGCACTGATGAAGGGAATAAAACCTATCTAAACCAGTGCCATCTATTTCTAATCAAACCAACCTAGAAAGGACACATATGCCATAGCGCCTTCTGATCCAAAAGCCAGCCCGCATGGGCCCACCAGAAACCATCCTTGGGAGAGTGAACGTCATTTGGCGAGTCCTCGGCTTCAACGAGGCACTCGCAACGGGGTCGCGGTATTTGGCGCTCGAAACGGCTCACATGAAGCGACCTTTTGCTTGGCGCCATGGCCCAGTCATGACTTGTTTCACTGCTGGCTACACTCACCTCAGATGCTCAGTGGCCATGAAAAAAAGGGCACCCGTTTTTGGGTTGGTTGAGTTTGAAGGGGAACCCTTCCCCCCAAAAAAAGAAGAAATTAAAAGGGGCACTACCGGGCAACAGAGTCACGCACTTGCGGGCAATTGCAATGCAAGCAAGCAGCAGTTGCGCCGTGGTGGTGACGATGAGAAGACACCCAGTTGATGGGATGGCTCTGCATGGCGAGGGCCCCGCAGTAAGCCAGGATGTACTCAACAATCTGACGGGCTGCAGCGGTACCCCGCACTCAGACTTATCCCACCCAAGCCCCGCAGTTTCATGCGTTGACTGTGCTATCCGTAAATGTGCAACGCATCTTTGAAGATCAAGCAAACCTGGTAACATACGAGCCAGCTGACTTGGCACACGCATAGTTGGTTAACTGATTCATGTCAGTCCACACCCGCAGAAACATAATACACACACACACACACACTCGCACACGCACACGCAAACGCACATGTACACAGTCAAAAACAGCTATCTGCACTTCCGTCCTTTGGTGACTTGAAGGAAAGGTGGGCAAGCTGGCGATGGTATGATAGCGTGATGCCGAACATTCCTGTGAGGACCTCGGTTGGTTTGCAGCACATTGACATCTCGCTTGTCAATGTCTCTCCAAGCGGCATAGCCGAAAAAGCCAACGGCAAAGGCGCTCCAGTTGAAGTAGAAGGGTGCAAAGCACGCTCCTTGCCGGAAACAACTTGGACCTCAGCGGCCTGCGAGCAACAGAAGCTCCCTGCCTATGTGGATCAGTCCTCAGATACGCACCAATTGACAAAAAGGCTTGCAAATCTGCGGGCAAGGCACCAAAGAGCAGTGCATAGGAGAAGTCCTGCATGCATGATTGTAACGGCACTATCGCATTTGACCAGTTCAAAGAAACGCGACCGCCCACACGAGCCATGAAGGCTGTCCTTCTTCTCCCACACACGCCTAAAGTAAGTTCGCGGCCTCAGGCAAGCAGTAAGCTACTTGATCATTGAGCCCTCGTCATCTCAAGATGTTTGTCAGCTTCACATCAAAGCTCCCTAGTCAATTGCCTGGCATCTCAGGCTTCCACCAAACAGTGAAGTCCCAAAATTTCCGGTTCCGCACGCTGAAGAACCTACCCGAGCCGCAAAGTCGGTATCATGACAATGCCAGGCCCTTGAAACTTTGAAGTTTCATGCGAGGCCTCTGTCCTTTTGCGCCGCCCTTGACCCTCTTGCTTCCTTTCAGGCGCTCCTTGCAGTCACTGCAACACGCCACCCGTTGGCCCAGCAAGGCATCTCCGACTGGCACATGCTGATTCCTCTCGAACTGCGTCCGCTTCTGGTGGGGGCACCAGGTCACGAAGAGGCTTCTTTTTCCCCTGTGCGACGAATGTCGGCCAAAGGGCGTCCAGCCAAAGAGCCCGGCATGCGGTCGACCAATCTAGCAGTTGCTGGGCAGCTATGCTTTCATTCAAAGAAAACTCCCCATCACGACAAACAACGAAGGACACAGTCCAGATCTAATGCTAGAGCTTGGTCTGGAAGCTGCTCGCTACCCACAAGAGATGCCAACTTTGAATCAATCCACAGGACTGCTAGAAGAATCCCCATAGGTATTGAAAAAGGAAGCACGACTCGAGGCTCGAAACACCTTCTGCAAGTCTGGACAAATAACATACTCCCGACACAAACAGTGGTGAACAAAAGACATCAGGGTACAAAACAAGTGACAGCATTCAAGGAGGATCATGCAAAATCAGTTGGACTGCCCCGAAGCAGCTGAGTTCGAAGAAAGGGCTTCGCTGAAGACTGCCCAGCCCTGCCTCTGCTGCTCGTCCCACTTTGCTAAGCTTTCTTGCTGCGAGTGCTGTCAAGAAGGCAGCAGCCTGATGGACACTTTGGCCGAAGCCCGACAGACCCGGGGCTGCTCCAGGATCTATATCCACTGAGCACCCGACCACTGCCCAGGAAGGCTGGGAGGCGCCCGCTGAGCTGTCGGCAGATGTCTGGAAGCCCTGAACAAATGCGCTTCTCACGCCATGCAGCGGTTGTGAGTTGCGCCTGCACCAGGGTCGATGCAGACGACCAAAGGCCTACGTTGCGGGCCTCAATCTCGCAAACAGATCTCGGTTGCTTTCTGCTCCCCTCCTGAAAGTGATTAACTTTTAGTGGTTTAATGGAAAACCCACTAGTTTGCAAAAAGTTAAAGTCCTAACATCCCTTGGCAAAATGCACCAAACACATCGGAAAGCGAATGACACATCCCTGAGAACGACGCCTGGTGTGTCAGCTGCGGGGCGACAAAGTCCAGCGACGACTTCGAGATGCACAGCAAGACCGCCTGGGAAAAGGTCTCGCACTCGCAAAACAAAACTCGCCCAAACAACATGGCCATGGGTCAAAACCCTGTACCCCCAGTAAACATCCCAATCCCCACTAAAATAGACAAAAGTGGGTGGTGCGCCTACCCCAAAATGGTACCATTGGTTTTGACAACCACAGCCACTTGAGACTTCCAGAGTGGCTTCCGGCACTGTGAGGAAGGTTTGATGACCACATAAACTCTGCGCCAATGGCTATGTTGTCTTCTGTGGCTTCAAGGTCATAACCTTGCCAAACACCTTTCCGACTCTGGGTATCTAGGCTCGCTGCCACTGCCAAGAGAGCGCCCAGCATGCGCTGCACCATGATGGGCTTTGCTGTATTCGCTTGGAAAAAGGGGCGATTCTTTCAAATGACCTCTGAAGTATGAATGGATGGCCATAGATCCACTTCTTTCGCCAGTGTGCTGTGAGCAAGCGCGCAATCCCCGCTGTCACAGGTTCATGAGTGCATGACTCAAGCTCGGGCAGGTACAAGCATACATTTGAGACAACGCCAGTATTGCAGTCAGCAGCAGTGCACACCCATTTTCATGTTAACATGATAATCGATTCTCAGGGCATGGAACAATATTTCTCCACACTGGAGTTTCAGATCCTGGCCTCTCTTGTCTGCGTTAAATCCCAAACGATCGATGAATGCTAGTTGGATTGATCGCGAAAGTGAGGGCAAGGGGAGCTGAATGACACAAATTCGCCAGTTGTGGATCGAGCCAATCTCATACGGCATTGGAAACGAGGTATTGGGCTCCGCTCAGATCTTGGTTGCAAGCGCAGCTGCCTGGCCATCCAGTCAAGCGGGGAACGCGAAGATACCATCCCTGGACATTGATCTTGTCCCCGCTTGAAGGTCAACTTCATGGGTGCATATGGCTGTGGGTCAAAAATAGGTACCCCAAATGGATTCCTGGCAATTGGAAACATGGACCAAAACCTGTGGTGCCCTGGTGGTTTAATTTTGACCCATACCCATGCGCCAAGGAAACAAGCCTGCCTGCGGCTGGTCCTCCTCATCGAGGACAACACAGGCGGCCTTCCTTGCACATGCTTCCTGCCAGGATGCAGTGAGAGGACTGCACTTTGGAGCACTGGACCTAGATCCCACATCACCGAGATTTTTGTTGGGGTGCTTTGTTGCCTTCCGCCTGCCTTTTTTCCAAATACCAACCGCTGACGTCGATTTCGTCTCCTCCCAGGCCAAGGCTCCAAAGGACCCCAAGGAGCCGACGTTGGGCACCTGAGACGCCCAAAGCCGAAAATGTTCACTTCGTTTCATTGCGACCTTCTTTAAGTATCTATATTAGGATGCTCCTCCAAATTAGGGACCCCTCCAGGTGGTTTCTTCAAACCATCCAAAACAAGGTGCCCCCAGTTTTTGAGAAACGCCATGTTACTTAGAGTTCGCTGACATCAAAATCGGACCTCTCGCTGGCCTCAAAGGCCTCGAGCAGCTCAGCCGAATTACCTGCATCTCGCAGGACTCAAAGGCACTTCGCCTTTTCTCCAGTGGGCGCCAGAACTCTGATGTCAAGGTGTCTGCACTTTGGGCACGTTCCACTGCTGTTGGTATGTCATGTCCAACCCTTTATTGTTCTTCCAGAGGTTTTGCAGGGCGCTCACATGGATTGTCCAACATGTCCACGCGAACCAGAATGTTGCTGCTCTCGTCTTGCATTCCAATGGGTTGTGCACACTCAGCACATCATGCTGTGTCCAAGGGCTCTCTTCTTGAAGCTGGCCGCCAGTGAGTGACAATTGCTTCAAATGCGGGCCAGGGTTTGCAAGAGCCCGCGGCCAGGATTCTGTGCCGCAACTATTTCACCTCACTTAAAGCTTGCCAGTGCTTGGGCAGTTTCAGCGGTGCAGGCTGGCCATACAGCTGATTGATTCCAACGCCATCAGCTAAAATTTGGAACCCCTTAGGATTGCTCCTCGGATGAAAAAAACACTTCGAGAGATTGAGCAGGAGTGGGCCGGCCTGAAGAAGACGTGCCTCGCCGCAGGATCATGTCCTGCCGGCCGTTATCGCGTGAAGTCCAAGGTGGCGCCGACACAGCAAAAGCCCAGCTTCGCAAGTTTCGTTCGCGACCCCTTCGCGAAACTTTCGCAAAGGCTCTGAGCCAATAACCAGTGGTCCCCCAAACTAAACACGGTAGAACAACTTTTGATCAACTCCCACGTGGTTGAACCATCGGAACCACGTGTTCTGTGTGGAACCAGCTAGCTGGTTCCCCCAAGGAACATGGTAAAATTGGTGTCCCACGGCTTCTGCAAAAAAGTCGGGAAGCAAAACGGAAGATTTTGAATCTTGTTGCCAACTCACAAAGCCTTGTGACTCGAAGCAACCCCCATGCCGGTCCTCTAAGGCAAAAATGCCCACCACCCGGAAGCAGCGCCTCGCGCTCGAAACGGAACGAGAGGGGCCTACCGATTTTCCGCTGAGGAGTGGGCCGAGGAGGCAGCAAGCGCTCCCGGAGGTCAGGAGTGGAAGAGTACCTGCGCTGATGTCGACACCAAAAGGAAACAAGCGCGCAAATCGCGCAAACATGTATGTCATGCCGTGCGTGAGCACGATAATCATGGCGCTGGTTGTCTAAATCCCAAGTCAATGGCCAGCCCCACTAAGCAAATTAGCCACGTGTGTTGACCTTTGCTTGATGAAGGGGACTCCCGACCGCTGGCAATGCAAGCTATTGCATGCAGTAGCGGGAGACTTATCCTGCGGCCAACTGAGCCGCATGGAAGAATGACCATTGCTTTTGACCATTGTATTTCACCTCTCAGAAAAGGTATATTAGCTAAGCAGGGGTACTCAGCGCCGTGTTCAACGTGATGCAGCGGCTGCTCTGGACATGTTGAGACGGAGTCCAGTGTGGAGCCACGCGTGTCTGTCTTGGCGTTGGTTTCGAAGCAGCTTCAAAATTGTCTGCTGCGCTGGTATTGCCCGACGTTCTCACAGCCAAGTGACCCGTGCAGGCAGAGTGCCGGCCCGGCTCATTTCGTGGCGTGGCATCTGATCAGCTGGATGTCTCTTTTGCTGCTCTCTTCGTCGGTGGCCATGGCACGCCTACACCAAGCCTCAGGAAAGCATTTGGAGCCCACGTTTTGATCATGATACGACATATGAAGTGTCACCCTCTCAGAATTGAATCGCATCGGTTCAAGCCCAACAATCAACGACAAAATGAGTTGACCCGAGCCTCTGAAACTTCTTCCTCAAAGGTACTCTTCTTCTGACCGCGATCCCCTCACAAGTCATGGAAGAACTAGCTTGTTACACTAGATCTCCCTACGTATGTTCTTGGCAAAACCCCGGGTGCTGCCGGGTTTTCTGTGCGCCCCGAGAAAAAATGATCGGATGGTTCGCAGGTCACGCTGCTACATCTCGAGAGCAGCTGCTGCGGACCTGCACGCCGATTGAGCCGCCAGCCCATGCCGTGAGTCACGGAGAAAATGGTCCTTCCCACCGATTAATATGGAACCTGACAGGGGGTCCCTTCGAGGGTACTTGTTTTTGCCGGAGGACAAGGGACAAGTCAGTAGGGACAAGTGAGTCCGCCTGGCTTTGAAACTTAGCGAGTCCAGCATGTCCCTCTCAAATAGACCATAGGCCGCTGGTTCTTTTCACCGAACCTCACACACACACACACTTCCCTCTCTCTCTCGCTCTTTTTGTTTGTCTTCTTTCTTTCTTTTCTTTCTCTTTTTTTCTCTCTCTCTTCTTTTCTTTCTCTCTTTCTTTTCTTTCTCTCTTTTTTCTCTCACTCTCTCTCTCTCTCTCTCGCTCTTTCTCTTCAACCATTATGGGATATGTGAGCACGATGGCATCCATGTCTCTGAATTTGGAACGCAGTTTTCGGCCCAAGAGATGCGGAAGCGACTCATCGAACACGCTGGCCTTAAAGACAAGGGCCACACCCTTCTCCAGGGCTGCCTTGCATAAGCTGTGAGGAACATATCCAATTTGCATGATTTCGGATGGCCATGCTGCGGCTTTCATGAAATCGAGGATGCCCAGGCTGCCAAGAGAATTCAAAGTACAACAACTGTTTGCGGGTCCCAAATGTGAGGCATCCAAAAAGTCGTTGCTCCTCTGCGGATCCCAAATGTGGGGAAATCCAAACAGACGTTGCTCCTTTTGGGTTTTCCTCTTGAGTTTTCCACAGTGTGGAACACCTTCGGAACGCCAAATTGTGTGCCTCTTTGGCCAGCATGGGGTCAGAGGTCACTGACGCGCAGCCTGCAAAAGCAAAACACTGCAGCTAAAACAGCTTCCAAGGCCTTATTCCAGAGCTCAGCCAATGTCACAACGCGCGCAGTTCCTCTTTTGCCGATTCATGCTGAGAAGTCTCTGCCATATCAGGCCTCGCCAAAGTAAGAGGTTTCCGGGGTGCAAAGCTGCCAACCCCTCCACCTGCGCGCGGGACAAGGCGCCCACTCTGTCTCTCCATGCCATTGGAGGATCGTGTTTTGGAATGCCAAGACTCTCCAAGTGATCGGCCATGCAATTATGCAAGCATTCAATCAGGGGGCATCTCAAAATCCAAGACACACACTTGCGCACCCGCCAGACACAATAGGCCAGGCTCTGCGATTCGTTTGTAGGCCTCTCCCGCCAAGACTTCTCTCAACGTTCCTGATGGAGTTGACAAGCCTCGGCAAACCCTTTGTCAACTCCAAGTCAACGGTTGGAAACCCAGATCACGCTGATTGAAGATCAGAGTGCCGCACTCAACCCGAGGAACTGTACGCCGCGCTGGGCAGGCAATGCCTTGATACATTGAGGCAGTGCAAATCAAAGACCACGAGCAGATCTGGCTGCCTAAACCAATCCTCCTAAGGGCGGTCGTTTCCACCACGTGTAACTACATCGTTGACTACAGCACTATGACTGTGAGAAGTGACAGCACGGCCTTTTTTTGTTGTGCTCCCAGGCTACTGTGGGGCGAGGATGGCTTAAATGACTTACCACATTGGGCGAGAGGCTTTTACTCAGACTCTGAATTGGACAGCCATCGACCATTGCGTCCCCTATGCAGCGGCGACAAGCTGTGCTTCTCAAGCTAACTTCGGAGACTCTGTCGCTGGACTGTCCAAAAAGCTAGGTCAAAGGAAAATGGTTTGATCATCCTTTCGGCTGATCAGTCCCAGGGATGTCAGTGGAAAGGATGCTCCTCTGGCACAAATTCCGTGCAAAAGTCACTGTAGGCAGCAGCAGCCCTCAGCGCCGTGAGTGGCGCGCGTACTCACGCACTCTCATTGCACTCCCGAGCCTTCTGGCCACCGGCACGAATGGGGTCCTAACAAATCGCAAAACAAAAGCTAAGCTCCGCGATAATCAAAAAACGACGGTGTAATTTCGCTGATTAAGAAAACAAATGTGTTCATTGTAGCTCAAAAGTTTTGTGGTAACCGCCTGTTCTCCCAATCAAAGCAAAGTGTCCTCGCTGCCATCAAGGTAGGCCTTGAATTGAGGATACTTCAGGCGCCTGCCTCAGCTTGGACTCGCGAGACGAAAGCTGAACACCCACTGAGCTCGCGTCCTCTCACGGCTTCAAGCCATTTCAGCCTCAGCTGTACAAAACACACCGCCATGACCTAAGAGGCAGGTTGCCCACCGGGAAGTGGTCGCAATCTGTCTAACATGAAGCCTATCACGCGTTCTGGATGAATCGAACTCCAACGAGCTGTAATTTGCTTTAGGTTAGCGCCTTGTGGCAACGTTCTAGGTCTTTGCTTGCCTTTCAACGCAGCTGGCCTGAGCAATGGCCTTTTCAGGCTGTGCAGTGTAAGCAGCGTCCAAAAATATGGCTGTCCCCCAGGAAGTGCTAAATCAAGCGCGCACTCTCACCACTCCATGCCAGGCATTTGAGGGACTGATATTGGCTTTCGTCTTTTATACCCATGTTTTGGGCCCTTCCATAATTTGGGGTGTCTCCTTAATTTAAAAAAAAGACGCCCATAGTGTCCTTCAAGCGCGCTCTTCCTTCTACCGAGAGGAGTCAAGCCAACTGGGTTATATTCCTTTCGGAAAATTGGGCGATCCATGTCCACTCGAACAGATCATAGGGCGATATATTATATTCCGTCTCGCAATGGCCAATCATCGTCATCATCGTCATCATCATCATCATCATCATCATCATCATCATCATCATCATTTATCATCACCACCTGGTGAAAAAGCGCTGACCTGAGGCACTCTCACCATACGAGTTTCACGTGCTGCTCCATGGACTTTGAAAGGGGAAGGTAGAGTGAGTTGCTCCCTTGAGAGACCCACACTCTGCTTTCTGCTCCGCTTCTAAAAGCTTAACTTTGGTTCAATGTAACCCATGAGTTGGCAAAAAGTTCAGTCCTAACATCCCTCGCAATGCGCCAAAGCGCTCTGCCACGGAGTGCGCGACTCAGGCCGGGTGGCAGCTCGCCGGGGGGGCCGTCTCGCAGCTCCCCCACCACCGCATGCACGTCCTCGATGCTCACGTGGCCCTTCGCCTTCCAAAGGCCAGCGTCCCTGTTGCCATGTGGAACCCATATGCCGCGTCAAACGGGAAGAATGAAGCACCAAAAAACAAGCACAGAGACAGACGAACAAACAAGAAATACACACACACACGCACAATGCTCGCTGCTTACATATCTGACGAATGCCCTCATCATGCCATAGCTCATCTGCAATGCGATCACGACAATGAAATGCTCAGCTGCAGTAGGTACAACTCCTAAAAATTATCTGTAATGTCTTGCGAGCATCCTCAAAGCTCAGCAACAAAACAATGTGCTGGACCAGCGGTAGCCTTTTGCTGCCCCTCATCTCGTGGGTCGTTCAGGTCAACTCTCTGGCACATTCGTTCACTGAAATGATGCTCCCGCCTCGCGGTCGAGCCTTCTAAAAGTGGTTTGCAGCAAGGAATCCTCCAAGTCAGTGGACGGAAAAGTCCTAGGATCGGCACATGCGCTCAAACACCTCTGCATGTGTGCTTGGTTTTCGTGTTTTTCCCGATTCTCGGATGACACAGCATGTGCAAACACTTGGAATTTGTTACAGCTTTGTAGAGTCAGAGAGTTACTACGTGTATGCAACTTCAACGCCTCTGTTTAACGTTGGAAAGCAATTCACTCAGCCCACAAAGCCCATGGATGACATTCGGACTCGGCCCCCATGAGTTGGACATTCGGCATCTTGCAGCCAAGCAGCGCAGCTAGAAAATCGGTAAAGCGGACCTTGCACCAAGCCAGGCAGGCCGCAAAACAGAGGCTCTCTAATATGCAACAGCAGCGCGTGTGCATATTGCTTGTCCCAAAATGGTGATCCTGGATCGACGTCATGTTGATTCATTCGCGGCTTTGGGTGTTGGGCCTGGTTACTACGTCCTCAGATTTACAATACATCACAAGGGTATTCGCTTGCATCGCAACAGCTTGTGACATCTGTTCCACAGGCCCTTCCCACTTGCCAAAACAGCCTCATGCGTTAGTTGTCTTCACCCTCGTTTTGTAGAACAAAACAACGGTCAGGCAAGCATCCTTTCATACTTCAAGATTTGTACACAATCCCAATAGCAGCCATGTCGCAGAATTGTCTCCAGCGATGTCTAACGCTCTGGTGACATCTTGAGCTTTGTCTGGATCCAACTCCAACCTCAATGGAGCAGTCTTGCGCTTTCGTCTTGCAATTTGTGCAAGCTCAGTGGCAAATGTTTAAACCTTGTCCAGCCACCTTTGCTTCAGCATCTCTTCCAAATCAGGTGCCAGTATCTTGCCTTGATGGGAGGCGTCCAAGACAAGGAAGGCCTGGCGGCTCTTTGTTCACGTCTTTGATGCGACAATCTACCTTCGTACAACATAGTTGTTTCTATTTTTGAGAAAACAAAAAAGGATTACACCAGCATGGACCCAAATAGCGACAAACCAGGCTGATGCTTGCACCCCCCGAAGAGGCCACAAACATCACCCCCATCGCACAAATGCGCCCAGCACCCCCAAACTGCATGCCCTGAAAATGCGCCCGTGCCGCCACCAGGCCCCCCCCCAAAAAAAAAGTCCCCCCAAACTGCGTGCCAGAACCCGCCCGCACCGTCACCAGCACCTCAAACAGCACCCCAAACAGCACCCCAAACAGCACCTGCGCCAGCACGCCAATCTGCACGCCCCCTAGCACCCAGCCGTCAATCGCGCAAATCACGTCTCCACTTTATTAGAAGTTAGAACCCCTATAGCTGTTAGCTATCTGGGGAAAAAACAAGGGTCATGGACACGTGCCCACACACAAACTTGTTTTTTGGTGCGCGATGGTTCACGTTGGGTTCACTTGGCATTTGCACATCCATGCATGAAAGGTCCAAATCGAGCTTGGTTGGGGGTCTTGCCCTTTCTTTTGTGGGGCAACATATTACATGCACCACTTTGTCGGCAAAGTGGCTGGTTGAGTTTAGGGTTGGAGGGCGCTCTTTTAACGAGGCCCACGCGTGGCTCCCAAAGTTGCCCGAAGCTGACATCGCCTGTCCCTCATCTAAAGCCAAACCCGCGGAACAAGCACGCAGCTTGTTTCTTGAGCCGGCTCCCAGTTTGCAACTTAAATCGCCATTCCTTAGGGGCCCGTATCATTCGCGACATACAAAAGCGAGTAACAATAGGTTTGACTAAGAAACGCACAAATTGCTATGAGGTATTTCGCACACAAGAAATCCCAATGCTCTACACCACATCCTCAACAAGTAACAAAACGAAATTGGTTTTACTTAACCTGACTTACAGCTACAGCCTGGAAACATGCAAGTGGCTTCTTGGGCATTGCCTCCAACAAGGCGCGTGCCCCAACCACAGTGTTCAAGTTGGTGCCAGCGCGGCGCTAGCGCGGAGGTAGGGCGGAAACTGCCTGTTTTCAGATTTTCCGCAGCGTCACGTGTCGCAAGGTCAGGTACAGATTTCGTGACAGGCGCAATGCTTTCGGAAGGGTAGGCATGGCAGGCGCAGCACTGCCGCAAAAGACACGTGCAGATTTTGTGGCAGACGCAGCACTTTTGCTTTGCGAGCAAAGCCTTTCAAACATCAATTAGCTTCGACGATCTTCTCCCAGGGCAGACCCAACAACTGGGCAGCGCGGCGCTCCTTCGCGAGTGGCGCCAAAGACTCTACCTGACCCAGGCTTCTGGAAGCTGCTGTCGCACACCGGGGTGTAAGAGCCGCATCCAGACCGCTTCCCCCTAGAACGAGGCGCGATGCAGAAACATGCGGAATCTCCACCGTGTCGGAGCCAAGAGCCAGCCACAGCGAACTTCTTGTTCAAAAAGAAGACGACTGGCGCGGCATACCCACCACAAACCCGCACCAATCTTGGATGAGCCGCGTTGGCAGAAGCTAGACACATGCCAGACACTGCGCAGCACCTCGTTTCCGCGGCCTGGCTGGGCACGTGCTCAGTGGACACTGGCAGTCCGGGCAAGCAGTTCTCTTGGACAGGACCAGGTGCTCCGGCGGCACAACAGCAGAGTCAAACCATGAGCTGGGTGAAGCCACGTGTCGTCACGCATCAACAGCAGGGCCAAGCGCAGAGCAAGAAAGCTTTGCGCAAGCGCACAAACATGTTCTGGAAGAAACGTCGTGTGGCCTTGATGCCGAGCGCCACTCCGCAAATCTGCTTGCGCAAGACTTGTGCACAGCGGAAACAGAGCCTGAAAAGAGAACCGTCAGCCGTCTGGGTCCGGACCCATTTTCCCGGCTCAGCGCAAAGGAAAAATGTTGAGTCTCACCAAATCGCCTTTAACTTGG